TTTAAGGGGGTCTGAATACTTTCCGTACCCACTGTATATCATTGATGAATTCATTTCTATATGATTTCTTAGAAAAAAATGGACATCTTTATAGATGAAGGCCCTGGGCTGTATGACTAAATAATGACAGAATCTTTATTTCTGGGAGATTTTTCCTTCGAATCTGATTTACAGGCATGTTTTAGGATGTAAAGTCCCGTCAGGAGCGAAAGCGTCAGGCTTCGTTCTCGTAAAGTGCAGTTCCTGTTGTGCATTCATCCGTCTGACGGAAAACTCTAGTGCATTCTGGGTCAGAAACATCTGATCGCTTTTACGTCTCAGAAACCCACAAACTCCAAACCGCCGCCACCGCTGCTGTGGTTGCCAGATTGCCGAGGCTCTGCGCGGCGCTGACCTCTGACCTCTGACCTCCAGCGGCGGAGCACTGCACCAGCGGCGTCTGGTAGGATGTGGGCCGTCTGTCGGGTCGGTCGGGGCTGGAGCCGTCGCTGGGCCGCTGGCCGTTAAACAGCAGCAATCGTCCGTCTGCGTCGCGCTCCAATCGGAAGAGCTCATACTCTGTGTGTGGGAGGTGGAGCCCCAGCGCCGCGCAGCCATTGGTCGGAGTCACGTCCTGCTCCACGCCCACCTGCCACGAACCCTGAACACCGCAGCCACTCTCTTTGAACACATTCAGCAGAGACGTGGTCGCCAGATCCATCGCCGTCACGCGCATGTGGTTCACTGCAAGATCAGCAACAGAAAGAGTTGAGAATATATGCGCATATATATATATATATATATATATATATATATAAAGCTTATGTTTCGAACCATTAAGGTTTTAAGAGTATCAATGTTTAGTTGCTTGCATTGTGATATACACAATTCTCAAAAAAAACAAAACATATATATATACACACTCACACGTTTTAGAACCATTAAGATTTTTTTTAAACATTCCTTTTTTTTCATAGAGAATGTGTCTGTCTGTCTGTGTGTGTGTGTGTGTCTGTCTGTCTGTGTGTCTGTGTGTGTGTCTGTCTGTCTGTCTGTCTGTGTGTGTCTGTCTGTGTGTGTGTGTGTGTGTGTGTGTGTGTCTGTCTGTCTGTCTGTCTGTGTGTGTCTGT